TATTGAACATCTTAACCATCCGAGCCACTAGAGCCCTGGGATACGCTACATAACAGAAGAGTGACTGAAATGTGGAGCACTAGTACAATATCAGACCACCCCTCTCAGTCACAGACACTTTTCTAGCTTGATAAGCAGCTGGGAGGAAGATAGAGGTGCAAGGTTCCCTAAAATGCATGTGCTACTATTTTTTTGGGGGTGCAGTCCCAAACTCAACCAGCCATAGGGCCAATTGCTTTCAAAGTGGGGGATGAAAACAGGCTGAACTAGGTCAGCGATTCCAGGCCACTGGATGATGTTTTCTTTCATCCAGTAGAAGCTACTAGGCATCTGACTCTTTTCTGTCCTCTGAGTAATCTCAAAAGAGGAGGGGGTTTATCACATTTGTAAGGGACAGACAGATTTCTCAACCTCAGAACTGATAGCCAAAAATCATCCTGCATGGCTGAAGCCTACCAGGACGTACACCACGTGGGAGGAAGACAAGAAGCTGCTGTTGGAGTGGTTAGCAGGACAGTCCTCACACTAGATTTCCAAAGAGATCCTCCTGGGCACCACACACTGACAGACTGTGGCCACAGCCAACCTGGCAAAGCAAATGGTGCTTCAGAGAGCTCCCAGGCACTGACCATGACCGTCTGTCCTGCTGTGCTGTTAACGAGGCTCTTGGCACACTTCTGACCTATGCTAGCTAACATTTCCCTGAGCTGTTCCCGAGGGCCATCTGGACTGTCCCTGCATACAGCCACCTCTCCTGGGAGGCTGGGAGAAGTCTGTAGCGTAACCCGGGCCACCCCGAGCCAGCTGGCTGCAGGACCTGGGAACGTTCCCAGCCACACCAAATGTGCCAGTCTATCTGTGGACTCCTGATCTGAGTCTGCAGCCAGATTCCTAGGATAACCCAACAACTCCTGCTGACCCCCACTTTTTCGTGCCCGTGGGGATTGAGGGTACCCAGTATCATAACCCAACAACTCCTGCTGGCCCCCACTTTTTCGTGCCCGCGGGGATTGAGGGTACCCAGTATTACAGCCAATCTTTGTATAAACATAGCATTGCAATTGGCTGGTTTGCTTTAGGCAACGTGCTAGCATCCTGGCCCACCGTCTTGAATGCAGGTTTACCAAAACACCTGGGCAGCATGTTGGGATAGGAAGAGAAACACTAAGGATTAAAACTCCCAGAGCTGCAGAGATCTCCTCATGTAAAACTGAGCAGTGGGACAGAAAGAAATGCTCCTAAACGGTGACTTGTGACTTTCCTTTTTTGGTCTTGCAGTTGCCACACAGGGTTCCTTGTGTCAGTCTCGTAGAAGCCCATACAAGGGCAGAGCTGAAAGTGAGCAGTGGGAACTGCTGTGTTGGTGTGTTTTAATTAAGCTTTTACAATAGTCCTAGCATTTTCCCCTGTGGACTGAAGGGGATATCCTGCATAAAGGGCCATGTTTGAAAATCATGGCTCACAATAGCCAGCTATATTTTCATTACTCCCACTTTTCAGAGCCATTTTCGATGTCACTTGTCATTACTTAAATGAGGCTTTAGTCAAACTCCTGTGAACAAACCCTTGAGAGGGTCTGTGTCACCACACACAAGCAAACATGGTGGGGCTGCAGGTGACCCCCTTTTGCCCGTTACACACTCCCCAGACGGGCCATGTTCCCAACCCCATCCATCATTGCCCCATACCTTGTAGTGAGGCTTGGCTGTGGCTCCCTGCATAACAGAGCTGGGTCAGAGAAGAAGAAGGTGGTAGGAGAGGGAGGAGTGCACCCCTTCTTTGATCCACCATGCCCAAGATCAGTCCTTGTGTGCTCTCACTTCTCTGCCTCCCCTACCTGTTACGTATAGCCCCTTTTCATTTGGTTTTATGGCTCCCATTTTAAACTTAAATGTCAGAAGAAACATTTTGTCCTTGACTTCTTTGTCTTTGTGGCTCTCCCCTTCTCTGATCCCTCCATTGTATGCAGACCCTCATCCACTGCAAGAAAAGGCAATCCATGTGTTAGCTGTTTAGTTCAGAGGGGAGAAGGACCGGGGAGGAATCTCCTTCCTGATCCCATATCTAGCATTTGATTGATATGAGCAAGGCAGTCCAACAAGACATTAAGGACTTTCTTGATCACAAGGTACATCCAGGTTGTAGCTGGGCTTGCTCTTGAGAGAAGACTCAGAAAAAAAAGAAAAAAAAAATATGTTCCCTTAGAAACCTACCAGTGATGTAAAACTTAAATAACCAGTCATATTGAATTGATCAACAAATGCAAATCAAATCTTTTTCAAACATCTACCTTCACTCGTTTTAGAGTACCTATAAATGAGTCCTGTTTACAATTCCATATGAATAATGTCTTTCCATAATTTATGCACGTGGTCGTAGCATTCACAGTATGTCACAGGAAACACTGGTGGGATACAGTCCACATAGCTCAAGCATTTGCTTTGAAAGGTTTAGACGTTTTAAGTGAGCTCATGGTGAATTTCATACTGGCTGCTTTATTTACATGCTGCCTATCAGAAGAGATCAAGCATTTCTGCTTCCCTAAATTGGCTCTCTCTGGAATATAATAGCAGCTTTCAAACTCGCCACATGTTATCTATATATTTTCAATTATAAATAGGGTCATGTTTGTGAGTTAATGGGTTTAGTTCTGGAAGTGCCAAAACTTTGATCAACACATGTAAAACAATTGGCTGAAAACGGCGATTTTGATCATTGCTTTATACGTCAGTGTGCATTACCTACAGTATGACAGGAAACATAACCACTGCTGAAAACTTTTAATATCTGCAAGAAGGAAAACGGTACTTGGAAATTTTAAAAAGATTAGATAACAAAAGAGCGCTTGAAGCAGTACTTTTAGGAGCACTTGCAGGATATGTAATCCAGTTATAGGACCTGCAGCACAGATCATTGTAGCTTCTTGATTTCTTCCAAACTTTATTTAAACAATAATTCAACTACTTAGAATTTCATTCATACTACAGCAGTCCTGATTTTCTTTCTATGTTGTGTATGTTGTTTATAGCCAGTGGTGGGTTTATATTTGGAAACTTCAGCTATTAAAAAAAAAAGAAAAAAATCAGTTCTTTGATTTGCTACCAAATATTGGTAAGATAAAAATCCTGGCCTCACTGACGGCAGCAGAAATATTGCCGTTTTAGCCACAGGATCACATACAAACAACTGATTGTTGGGTTCGCCATGCAGCCAGGCATCCCGTGAGTAACTCCTCTGGAGTCAATGGGGACGTCAAAGCTGCACAGGCAGGCTTCCTATTGAACAAGATGTTAACTGTAATATAGTAACACATTTAGTTTGAATAAAGCCTCCATTCTTTAATCAGTGTAACTGTCAAACTAAGGCAACTGTAACCTCGTAGTTTACATACCAGCATCACCCAGGGAAGAAATTTACTTCTGACTGAACACAAAGAAACCTCATCTACTCATTCAAATTATACCTTATTTGAAAACACAGGCGTAGCGTGGTTGTTGCCTGGGGAATGGGGGAGGTACAGCATGAGTAGTTCTAAACATTTCCAGCCTCACCCATTTGTTGACAGACCCTTGAGTTATTTTGGAAGCTCTGTCTCTGCTGCCTGCCTTGTCAGTTATTATATTGAAAATTTAATTGTACAAGGGCTTTGACACTGAACTTTATAAATTTGTTCCAACTGACCTTGTCTCAGTTATTTGCCAGCCTGGCACGGAGCCTTAGCAGTCATTATTTGTTCTCGTGCAGTAGGTAGAAGCAGCATGGAGCAGGAGATAGAATGGACCTGACATTTTACATGACTGTAAATGAGGAAGCAGCTTTAAATAAAGAGATTAGTATGCCCGCCACAAAGAGTATTGCATTTCTCTCAAACAGACTGAATTTAGGTTGTACGGAATTACTTCTTTGTACCCTGGGTGTGGCTGTTTGTTCTGTAGTGTTTTCAAACATCTATTTAAATTTATTTCTGTTTCGCCATTCACTTAATTACTCCTCTGTACAGACATCTTCAAGAAAAGTTTTAGAGCATGGCTTTCATGTTCTGAACAAGGTGCAAGTCACTACAACACATTAAAAGTAGAAAAAGTGTATTGGAGTGCAGATCACCATCTGGATGTTTCACGAAGTTTCATAAATCTGAAGCACTCTTCTAAATCTTTCCCTGAAAGCATCACAATGGGAAAGCAAAACAGAGCAAAAGCAAAAGCCAATGAATATATGACATAATATTTCCAGCGCCACATCTGCAAAAGGTTCAATAGATTTAATCTTTATTTATACAAGTGTGAGGGCAAGGTACCACCTGCAGACTTGGAAGAGGTGTGATGTGCAGTTGAGTTCCCTCTGTCGACTTTGCAGGAGCTGAAGTGTATTTAATCATTTCTTTTTCAAAAAAATACATGGCATTAGCAACACGAACCTCTATTTAAAAACCATTTTGCTCCACTACTAAAAATTGTGAATTTCAGTGCTCATTAGAATCATTGGAATAAAGAGTATTTAAGAACAGGTAAAACAGGAACAGAGACTCAGAAGTGAGTTTTATTTTTGTCTCTTAGATGGATGTCTAGAGTATGGAAACCCAAATCATCTTGCACCTCAGTGATTTATAGGTTCTGAAAGAGAATCTCTGGCTGAGTTTCTTGCTTTTTTTTATTCTGTACTTTCAAATAATTGGGAAAGGAAACAAGTTCATACCTGGTCTGTAGAGAGGCTCTGCTCAAGAACAATCAGTGTGTGCTCTCAGTGAGCTGATGGCTCCAAATGAGAGCTGTCTGCAGAGAGCCACCTGACAAGGAGACTTGTAGACACCATGTGAGGTCTCAGGGGTGAGGCTGCAAGCAAGATGGAAATGTAGAATCTCCGGGAAATGAAAAATGGATGTGGCAACCCATGTCCATCCTTTGGGGTTGTGTTCTTGTGAAAAGTTCTGATAACCATTGTGTAAGTCAGTCCACTGTTCTTTTCTCAGAGTCAATTTTGTCTTTTTTTTTTTCTCCTAGACGTCTGGATGCCAACCACATCAACTATGTGCCCCCCAACTGCTTCAATGGCTTGGTCTCCCTTAGACACCTCTGGCTCGATGATAATTCTTTGACAGAAATTCCCGTCCAAGCTTTTAGAAGTCTACCAGCACTTCAGGCAATGACATTGGCACTGAATAAAATTCATTACATACCAGACTATGCTTTTGGAAACCTCTCTAGTTTGGTAGTTCTGTAAGTTTTATTGATTGCTTTTTAGACACAATCTCAGCTTCTTTGAAGGGCTTATACCTCTTTGTGATAAATTACTTGAAGATGCAATGCTCAATTCAGATGTTGCTTGAGACAACCTTTAATAATTAAATATTCCCCTAGTCCCTCCCCAGTTGGCAAATGATAGGTAATTAGGTATATACAGGAGTTAATTAAATGTTTGTTTTTTCTTACAGTCTTAATATTAAATTGATACCATGGAGCAATGAATTTGCAGTTTCCCTTCTACATTTGCACTAGGCTTAGTGATATTCCTTTACCAAGAAGTCAATTCCGTTTGTTGCAGAAAATGTTCTTTTTAAAACATAAATTAAGTTTTCTGGATTGTATACATACTACAACCCAAAATTTAAAATAGTTATCTTGGAGAAACAGATTTTTTACGTCTTCCTACAGTTAAACTAGCATTTGCTAAATCACTTGTTTTGATTTAGCTTAAAAGTTTCCATCTCCAGTGAAGAACTATGTAAGGGAATTAAAAAATCACCCTATCTGGTCAGTAAAACAAACAGGAAGAGATGAACTGTGTGCCCTCTAAGACTCTAAGGCCGAATGAGGGAAGATTAGAAATAGGAAATGAACTGAAAGCTTTCTGGGTAACTTGGAAAGAATGCCGTCCAGTGCATTTCCCTTCATAGGAAGTATATGTAGTTTTGTATTTTGTTAGGTTTGCATACCAGTTCAACTAAACAAAACATGCGTAGCTTGCACCAAAATCTGGAAGGTATACTGTGGAGCGTGGTTTCAGTTTTTTATCTTTTGGGAACGTAGCAAGTGGAAAAAATTCTGGACTGGTTGGAGAAACTGAGGTGGAGAAGTTACGGAAAATGTTAGCATCGTTAAAGAGACAATAATACATTCAAGCTTTACAAACTGTCTGAAACCATAGTCTGTAAGACACTTAGCATAGTTTAGCATATTCTAGCCCCAGTGTAAGCATTGAACCTGGCATATGCCAGGGTTCTTTATTGACAGTTATAATCACCATCTCCGCCTAGTGCTTGATATCTTCATATAAGCATATAGGGCACCAAAAATGGGGGGTAGCAGCTGCCTTGTGCTGCAAAATCTTTGCCTTGTGTTTACATTAAGTATCAGTCCCATTCAAGTTAAAGAGTGGATGGACTTGTGATTTGACTGAGCTTCTAGACTTACCTCAGTAATGGTAAAGGCAAGAGACAGTCTTGAACATCGTTCTCTAGATCCCTACCAGAAATATAGTGATAAAAGGACGGTTAAGAAATGCAGGAGAAAATTATTGCTTTTCATACCCTGATTGTTTCTGCTCAGTTAAGTTTCCTTATTATAGATCTGCCTTGCTTATTTCAAATATTCTGGGCTTTGTATTGATTAATGATTGAATCATTCCTCATGATCTACAACATCTGCTAATTTTGGCTCGTCAAAATCTTTGTATGTGGTTCTGCTTTCTTTTGTTTGCTACTCTATACAGTCTAGCAAATTTTCAACTCCGTGCAAAAATGCATGGTCAATTGGAGCCAGTTTGAAGCTCTGTCATTAAAGATCCAAACATAATTGGAATTTGGGGATGCACTCTTCATGCTAACTAAAGCATTAAAAGTCAGTGTAGTCATTAAAAAAAGAGTTTAATAGGTTTCTTCCTAGGAAAGGAAAAACCCACAGAACATTTGCATTTTGCCATCAGAATCCCTGCCTTTTATGGACAGGTAGACTTAATTTCTGTACGTTCTGCAGAACATTCAGAGGGCCTCTGATCTTTAACATTATTTTCAGAGCAGAATGAAGCATTGAAGGGAAAGTACCTGGCAGCCCCTCATTCACAGCCCTTCTTTTCTTTTAAAGTGCTACTCCCGTAGTTTCTCTCCACTATAGGGGTAGAGTGTCAAGAATAAAATAAAAGGAAAAAATCTGCTGGGAAAAAGGCATCCTTTTTAAAAACCAGCCTGAAGTGGCTCCAAGTTGCATCTACTCACATTAATGAGCTTCACACAGACTGGGTTTTTTCCATGTCAGTCTAAAAGACTTAGAAATAGGCAGCACTCTGAGCCTTCGTGCGGGGGGGCGGGGGGGGGGGGGGGGGTTGGTTGACATATGTAACAAAATTACTTTCAGTTGCTAAACATTTGAGAAAGTAGTTGTTGATTTTTGTAGTTTCAAAGGAATGCAAGTTACAGCACTTTTAAGATTGGCTAGTTTTCTTATGTCAGTGAAGCTATGACTTGTCCTATGGCTTCGTGTCTTCTTTCATTCTGCAAGCCTAATGCCCCTTTCCTGTCTGCCATATTATCCGTCTTCTCACCTGCTCCTGTTCTGTGCCATACCCTCTAGCATCCTCTGAACATACATCTTCCAAATACGCACCTCACACCCCACACACAGTTTTTAAGACAACATGTTAATTAACCATCACTGAGAATATGTCTACAATTTCCAAGTATTCACTATGCAAACCCCAACCTGAAACTCCAGGATATTCCCTTTCTAAACAATCTAGGTGGTTTTAAAGCAAATCCCTCCTATGAAACCAAATGGAAGCCTGTGTGGGGAGATATCGGGAGAGAGGAGGGAGGGCGGGGGAGGTGCCTCCTATACATACTCTTGCAAAAGCATGACTTGCATATAATCAGTGCATGCCTGAAAATAAGTTTCTTTTGATTTAACCACCAAAATGTTTTGCTCAAGTCCACTGTGTGCAGTCTGCTTTCCTGACTGTGTGCTTAATGTTCCCCTGCAGACATCTCCATAACAATAGAATCTACTCCCTGGGAAAGAAATGCTTTGATGGGCTCCACAGCCTAGAGACTTTGTGAGTTGACCTCATTTGTTTCCCTTTTTTTTTAGAGTGTTTTCATTAATATTCTGAAAGAATAAAAATAGCCTAAAAGCCAAATGTGGTTTTTGGCTTGCCTAATCGCTACAGGATCTAAGTGATGGTTTACAATGACTCTATGTAGCAAATCCTATTTTTGACTATAAAATTAGTTTGTCTTTTTAGTAAGCATTGTCAATTGATAAATTGTTTGAGGGACAGTTGGAAACTGTACTGAGCATTGAAAAACAAGTGTCTACTCATGAACCGTAATGTTTGCATAGTTTAGTACTATTTATTTGGCTTGTTTAATCAATAAAGCTAATAGCTAGATTGGGAAATTGTCACAATGAAAAGCTTTAACATTAAGAAACTGTCTTGCCATAGAGAAGGGTTATAAAATTGGTTAATTTTCTTTTTTTTATCCCTGGATAAAGCAGAAGTGCCAGGTACCCAAGTTATGCATGAGTTTTACAAGGTGGGGAGAGGAATATTTCAGTTGTATCCAAGTTCTTGTCTTTAAAGAGCCCTGATAAAGGATAGCACTGGTAAAGATTGACATTTCCTCAAGTTTTCATCTTAGTTCTGTCCAGACCAATTCAAATTTTCTTGAGTTTTCTAACAAAAAATAATTCTACAGAAGAACGGCAAACAGGAACACAGTGCTGATGGTTAGCACAAAGTATTGAGCTACAGAGCTAGTCAAATAAAGATGATGTCTGCTAGAGCAGCCCACAGACCCCAAAAATGCTACAGGGACAGTAAAATCTTGCATATCCTTCCCCCTGACACCTGCCACAGTCAGCTGCATCATTTTCAGAGATTTTAGATATTTCACCCAACCAGGACAGAGGCTAAAAGGCCTGTTATGAGGAACAAATGGACAAAGTTTCAAACATGAATAACACTAGTCTAAAGGTGACTATTTGCTTTTTTATCCACAGAACTATATACTGCCCACTTTCATGTTTCATTAAGATCAGAAAGCAAGAAGTTTTGGGCTTTTTTTTTTTTAATCGCTAATTTTGATTACATGGATCCCTTGCCACTGATTTGCAATTTTACAATTTTGACTTTTAGCTGGCTGTGAGTTGAGAGGAAGTCCCTTAGTGTAGCACCGGAAAGGGGGATGGGAAAGGGAGAAGGAAAATGTAGTTGTTTGTTTTGGTTTTTTAAGTGAGATTCACATGGCACTTAGTCAAAAACGGGGAAAAACAGAACAATGGAATAAGTAATTGCAAACCCAGTCCCAGCCACCTGGCATGAGAGAGATGAAAACATAGATGACAGTCAGGAACCTGGGAATAAGTGTAGGTGCAGCCACTTCGCTGCAATAGGAGAATGTAGCACTTGCCTCACGCACAGTAATTGCATACTGCATAGACTGGTTTCCAGATAGTTTCAAGATAATCTAAAGAGATCTCGGTGTAAATGATGGACGGCAGCTTTAAGATCATTTGTTTGCATCGACGCATAGGTCTGGAAATCAAATATCACTGGAGGGCGAAACCAAACCGTACATGCCTGTAATCTCTTTTTGTCAATAAGCAAGAGAGAGATTTACAAGCAGGAAGGAAAGCCTTGTTGAGTTCAGACAGCAGTTTCCTGCCTGCATTACTTCAGCCTGATAGTATTTCAATTTCAATCTATTGTAAACTGTGATTTGTGTTTTGCCTGTTCAAAAAGGCTTTTGCTCAAATTTTCAGACTATATGCTTCACAAAGCGGTGCCAGAGAGCATCACAGTAAACTGGCATCTCTCAATTTTAGTTTCAGGTATCTTCCGAATGCTACAGGATGCACATGTCATGCGGAGGGCAGGAGCAGGCTTATAGTCCATTCAGCCTACCAGAATAAAGTCTAATTACTGCTGCAGCATGAGCAGTTCTTAAAGCAGAGGTCACTACCCTAGCTAAACTACCATTTTTACAATCTGTGTGGTTAGAAACATTCTCCGTATAAATATTGACAAATCTTAAAATTAGCAATACAGTTAATGGCAGCATTGAACTTACTGTATATTTTCCCACTTGTTTTAGCCAGAGGAAGATTTTCTCCAATCACTTTTACCCTCCAAACTCCAGTATCTCTTATTTTTACCACTTTACCATTGGGAAAAATCTCTTCTGAAATTTTTTCATCAGCAAGGGGGGAG